GACACCCACACACACACACAAGAGACACGCACACACAGACAGAGACACGCACACACACACACAAGAGACACACACACACAGACAGAGACACACACACACACACACACACACACACAGAGAGAGACAAACACACACACACACACATCAACCAACGTTAGTGTGTTTTAGCACTATAATAGACAGACAGGTTGGTGAACTATCTTGTACTAAAAAAACTAAAATAAAAATTATAAAAATGACAAAAACACACAACAGAATTACTAAAATGTTCATGAAAGCCAGAAAAAGACCAGAAAATAAATTCTAACTCAAAATATTAACAAAACCTATAACAGTATTTCAGTTATAGTAAAATAACAGGGATGTAAACACACATTTAAACCAGTTCAGGGCTCGTATCACACGTTAAATCGTTTGTTTTGAATGTGCAGGATTTATATCTGCCTGCCAGCTCCTGAGGCACAGCCTAACGCACACCAAACCAACCAATACACATGACTGCAGATCATGCTGAATTCACATATTCACTTCATTAGCTAAAAAATAAACTTGTTACACAATCTTTACTATTTATCATATGTATATGTGACGGTATATGTATGTATATATATATATATATATATATATATATATATATATAATCTTTTCCTTGTTCTAATGTCCTTCTTGCATTATTATTTGTTCAAATGTTATTTCAATTGCTCTGTTGTTCCAAACTACTTTCTGTTGTATGTTCTCTATTCCTATGTATTCTGTGCCTGTGGCAATGCAAAATGTGTTTTTGTCATGCCAATAAAGCTGTCTGAATTGAAATGAATTTAATTTAATTGAGAGAGAAAAACTAATTTGACCTCCAAACCAAACTTCATTGTTATTCGGCCCTAAATAGAATCAAGAAATTGGCAAATTACGTATCAATTAAACAATTAAAAGAAAGACAAATTCTTTCAAAATATCGACTCAGTGACCACGACTTAGAAATAGAGAAAGAAAGATGAAAAATCCTGGATACGGAGAGAACAGTGATTATGCAAACAAAACTAAGATCATGAGATTTCAGGGAAAAAAAACATATATTTACTGTAAACACCACCACCAGGGCACTGCACGCTATCTGATCAAAATTATTCCAAATAAACCGTGTCATACTATAGCCCTGTATGGAAGTGAGATCTGGGGCCCAGCGAGTAACAGCCTTTAGAAGCACAGAAACACCTGATAATACATGTGGTCTTCCCCCAAATCTAATGATTAAAAAAAGAGTTTTAAAGCCCTGGATTCACTTAAACTCTCGTTCTGAAGAACCTCTTCATTTTAAAGCACTAAAAACACAAGTAGAACCATCAATGTTTATATAAACATATATATATGGATGTATATTATATGTATTTTTGTTTTGCTTGTTTTCATTTTGAAATGTACAACACTTAAGCAATATGTACCCAAGTATGTCATGCCAATAAAGCTATATATGAATCGTGAGAAAGACACAGAGAGAGAGTGTTAATTTGGCTACAAATGAAATCAATTTCATATTTCAAAAAGCAGCATATATAATATATAGTGAATTGAAAAAGAAAGGCAAAAAATTCACAAAAAAAAAACACCCAGGGATGAAAAATGGTTTGACTCAGACTGCAAAACATTAAGAAAACAACTTAGAAAATCATCAAATCTGAAACATAAAGAACCATACAACACCGACATAAGAACTGAATACTGTTCAAAATTAAAACAATACAAAGACACAATTAGAGCAAAAAAGCAGCACCATCTGACCAAACGTCTACAAGAAATAGATCATCACTGCATCGGGGAGTTTCAGTTTGGCAGTGAATGCTCTCAAAGATAAAGCTCGAAGAGCTGTATACGCAATCAAGAAAAAATTCCAAAATATTGAAATACCACTTCCAATTTGGTGTAAATCTTTGCTAGTGTGATTCAGCCCATAGCGCTGTATGGAAGTGAGGTTTGGGGTCCACTCAGTGATCAGAGCTACACTAGATGGGACAGACATCCAACAGAAGCCCTACACACAGAACTCTGCAAAATGATTCTAAAACTACAAAGAAAAACACCCAATAACGCATGTAGGGCAGAATTAGGCCGATTCCCATTGATTATTAATATGCATAAAAGATCTCTCAAATTCTGGATGCATCTTAAATCAAGTCCCACAGAATCGCTACATTTTAAAGCGCTACAAACCCAAGAACTGAACCCCGAAAAGAGTCCACTCAGTCAGCTGGTTCTGAGACTTACTAACCTGACTAACTCTACTAACACTATCCAGTCTCAAACCAGCACTGCTTCTCATCCAAACATCAAAATAAATCAAATTAGCAAACAATCTAAAAATACGTATCTGGAACATTGGGATCAAGAAACTAAAACACAAAGTAAATCACAATTCTATCGAACTCTAAAATCAAAT